TGTAGTATTAAGATTATGATAAATTCTGATTTCTTATAAAACTTAATGAATTTATTATGATTTTTAATACTAAACTTATAATAAATTATGATTTAGTATAAAATTTAATAAATTTATTCTGATTTTTTATATTAAATGTAGAATATGATTTATTAAAAAAATTAATAAACATTTTCTGATTTTAATAAATATTTAAAAAAATACTAACTAATTAATATTTGATTACTTGAAAAATATTTTTGTTTTATATTATAAAGTAATTAATTTATTCTTTTGTTTTTATATCTTGTTAATTATTTTTTATAAATATTTTTTTTTGAAATATTAAATAGAATTTATTAATGGAATAATTTATATTAATATACTTATTATAATAATATAATATATTAATGTGCATTAGTTGACATCCTGTCGACATTATCAACATGCTGTCGACATAATAGGAAAAACTGCCTTTTTTTTGGTTATTTGGACGATTTGGTCGACATTTCCGAAATATAGGAAATGTCGACCAAAATAATGTAATTTTTATATTACCATCCATTTTCATGTCGGTGAGCCTCGACATCAACATTTGTCGGGCAACATTAGCGACATTTCGCGACATTTGAAACCATGCTAGAGTTAGCTTTTTTGTGTGGGAGGCTTCATGTGGTAGCATCAATACTTTTGACAGGATTTTGAGGAAAGGAAGGGGCAACTGTATGTTACTCCCCATGCTTGTTTTGTGTGTTTGAGGGAAGGGGAATCCTGTGGCCATCTTCTTATTAACTGTGAGGTAATCACAGCCTTTGGCAGTATTTCCTTGATATCTTCTATAACTGCAGCTTCTACTGGGCTCCCTCCAACTCAATGAATCACTTCCTCAATCAATGGTTGGGGTGCAAAATGGGTAAAATAGGAATTCTATTTGTGGGAAGGCTGTCATCCATGTTGTGTGGTGGTGTATTTGAGAGGAGCATAATAAAAGAATTTTTGAAGACAAATGCTCCTCTTTGGAAGATCTAAAAGGGAAAATTATTTTCCAAGTTAACTATTGGATGACAACTACAGAGCAGTTTAGATGCATCTCTTCAGAAGATTCAGAATTGGGGCAGGTTCTGAGTTCTTCATGCATGGCTTCTGCTCATAGTGCTTTATTGGCTCCAAGATCCCCAACTGAATACATTCTTTAGTTTGATGGCAGTTGTGTCAGTCTGTTGAGCCACAGGGGTCAGGCAGGTATTGGGGGGCAGAATTCTAAATTCTACTGGGGATTTGGTATGGGCCTTCAGTGGACCAATTAGAGGCAGAGGCTGTTGAAGCTGAGGTTCCTTGCTGGAGGGTCTGGGAACTGTGGTGTCTCTAACCATTTCTTCAGTGCTGGTGGAAAGAGATTCTATGATTGTTATCAGCTGGATGAAGGATTTATGTGATGGACCTTGGGGATTCACTCATCCGTTTAGTGAAATCATGGAAATCTTGTCTCGGATGACTTGTTATTTCAGGTGGATCCAGAGAGAGCTGAATAGTGTGGCAGATGCTCTAGCAAAATCTGGGGTGGGCAGGGATTCCTTATATATTGATTCTTTGTTACCTTTTTAAATGGTTTGGAGGACTTTTTGTTTTTTGGCTGATCTGGTGGGGTGTATTGATTATACATCTTGTAAATCCATACCTTTTTTTGTTTAATGAAAGTTACCTTTTCTGATATATATGAAGCACTTAACAATTGAAGCATGTAAAACTTTCTATCTATTTATATCTCCTAGTTGCATAACTTCAAGTAGATAGTGTGATAATAAACATCTTGCATTCCTAATCCTAGGAGAATGGCCCTCTGCCTTCATAAGGCCCTTTGAAGCTAGCTCAAACAAGTCAGTGTGGGGCAGCACCCTTGACCTAAATTTTTGGCCTATATATAAAGGGGTTGGTTTTAGGGGCGATAACTTGGTTTAATGGTAAAACCTTGGGCTGGCAACATGAGATTGCAGTTACGAGTCTGAGAGCAGCCACTTTGTGTTAAAGAAAAAAAAAACCAAAGGTTAGGACCATATCCAATCTACCTTTCCCAACCAACATTGGGTAATGACCTTTTTTGTATAAAGGGATTGGTTTTGTGGTTTTAGTCACAACTCATTCTATTTTAGCATCGGGGATCAGACATTAGTTCTACTTCTATCTCTATTCCTTCTTTAGTAGAAACTTTGCTATTTGAGATCCTATTGCTTCTTTAAGTTCTACCATTATTGGCTAACATATTATATAATATCGTTAACATGTGGGAAATAAATGGCCATATGATCAAAGTTGAATGGTGATAGATGAACGTGTGAGCCATACAGAAAAGCTGACAATGTGTTAAGTCCAAAAAATGAACCATTAACAGAACAGTGGTTCTGGTTCTGTGTGATTCAAAACACAATCACAACTATACATAGAAGAACACCTATGATGGTTCAAAACCAATATTTTCATTTTTATAAAGAGGTGGTATGGTTCTAGAACACAACCGGCCTTTTTTTGAATCATGAAGTGAGCACCACCAAAATTGGTTTGAAAGTTCTAGTCCAAGTAAATCTTGCTCGAAGAAATCCCAGTTCTCTCAGCTCGTAACAACTAATCAAATGGTTGAATTTCCTCATATTGGTGGTGGAGGTCCTATTGAATCTATTGGATTCATAAGTGAAACAAGTGACATTAAAAATACCTTTGACACACCAGACTCCCTCCTAGAGGCCTTTGATGGCAAACAATTCTTCCAACAACTCTCTTGTCTCCCTATATGAAATTAAACCATAAACATTTGTTACCACCCACACAAAGTTATTTATGTTTCTTGATTTCACCAAGCATAGATATCTCCCTATCAGTTCCTTGATATCCTCAAAGACTTGCATGTTCCACATACATATGATTCCTCTTGATGCTCTCCAAGATGGTAAACTTGCCCAGACAACATTTCTTGCAGTTAAAAAACTTCTTATCCATTGGCTTTTCACCTCAAACAATTTTGATTCTTATATTTACACTATCCAGTTTGACCCTTTCAAAGAATTTTTAACAGTCTGTCTTTTCCCAGCACTTCCTAAGCCTTGTAATATTCCAACTCATATTTCTTATCTCTTTTTGTGCAGCCCCTTGTTTACCTACCCTCTTCCTTCCTTCCGCTTTTTCCTTGTCATATACAATATCACATTTCAGCTTCTCTAATTCACTCCTATTCTTCTATTGCTTGGTTTCAGCCCCATCTCCTTTTCTAGAATACACCTTCAATTTCTGTGTCTCTTTTATTTCCATCATGTTAAGGTTCAAAATATTGGAAACACAAAGTGTATCGGAAAGACAAATAGGATAGTGGTTTGATGTTTATTTTGTATTCCCTATTGTATAACCTTTGGTTGTACATGGGTTTCCCTTTCCTTTTTTAACAAATCAATACTTTACCTCTTCTCAAAAAAAAGGCAATTTTAAGAGACATATTGGGATATGCTTTGGATACGCATAGATACAAATGAAAAACCAAGATACACGTGGATACGCTTTGAAACTCAAATACATCCTAAAAAATATATGACCATACATAAGTTATTTAAACATAAAAACCTTACTCTAATGGTTTATATGAAGTGTGAGAGATCAGGACACAATCTGTTGAAAAATGACAGAAAAACTAAAATGTGTACATATATACCTTGATTTTCAGAAAATCAATATAATTAGTCTTAATATTTGTTAATATATAAATTTTAATAATTAGTTTTAGCATTTAATGACAAACACCTAGGGGTGGACATCCCAGCCCAACTCAGAAATTCCAGGTTTGGGCCTAAGTTTTGTATTCAAGCTTGGCCCAATGAAATTATGTGCATATTATATATAATATTTTATATTATATAATGTATCAAAAACATGTGCATATTATATGCCATTTTATATAAAATGTTATATATGTAATATTTTATATATAAAAGACTTAGGCCTGACCCAATCCATAATCAGTTAATCACCCCTATAAACATCCACTAAAAAGAAAAAGTTTATTTAAAGACCAAAATGTGTAAAATTTAAACAACAAATAGGTTTAGGCATAGTGGTGGTTTCATGGTTATTACAAACTAGTGATCAAGATTAAAACCTTATTATAACCTACTTTAGTTTTTACTCCCAAATCTATGTGCATTAGGTGTTAGAATGGTGTGCCAAATTTAAAATTCAAATTCAAAACTTGCCTTAAAGATTAGTAATTAATAATGAGAAGGATTATCAATAAAAGAAACATTAATGAGAAAGGGAGTAATTAATGAGAGAAAGAGAGGGAAAGTAATTAATTAGAAGGATTAGCAATAAAAGAAAGATAAACGATAGAGGGAGGAATTAAAGTAATTAATGAGAGAGTGAGAGAGTAATTAATTAGAACGATTAGCAATAAAAGAAAGGGGAGTTAGTAATTTGTAATGTATTGGCTCGTACTGGGTCCATATCGTCCAATATAAACCCTAAATGGTTCAATACGAGCCTGTATCATCCCAATACAGATGAAAAGAAATGGAATGATTGCTTTCTATGCGTTCCGTGTATCAGGCCTTTATTAGAACAATACAATACGTATCGGCCAATATGGGCCGATATATTGCGAAATTTTAAACCTTGTCCTGTTCTATTCACAAACATCTTCACGGCTTCATCTGATCATCTACGAACTTCATGTTAGACAGTGTATGCCCTTAGCTCTAATCAGAATGATGTACATTATGACATTTAATGTAAATGAATAAAGTACATATTTGATTCATGTTATTATGGTGTGTTTCTGTGTAATACCCTTAAACTAGACATCTATGAGACTCGTGTTAGTTTAGAATCTTCATAGTCGTTGGATAGATCTGGGGAGATTTATCTTGCCAAGGCTAATACTGATGTGCCGCCAAGTTGGTTGGGGTGGCTTGTCTCAGCTGCCAGGGTGAGACCTAAGGTACATGCAGTGTGGGTTTTCTTAAAACCTTGAACCGGACCAAAATTCCAGTATTGCCCTAGACCTTAGAGATAGATGGGCAAAACTGGAATGTTACACCTGACCCCTAGATTCGATTATGATACTACACTAGGTGTCGGATTGGGCTGTCTTTGATATGCCAATCAGTGAGATCCTTAGAGGGGGTCAAAAAACATGGGTATGTTGGGACAGTCCGAGAATTCATCTAAGTGGGTGATCATAGTGACAGGATCAACCCCTTTGTTGGACAAAGTAAATGATCGGGGAGGCACTCTCTTTGATGGAAACCTAAACTGCCGGCAGTTGATTTCAACTGTTGAAATTTGTTTGCAACACTGTTCCTTGCAGCCGGTTTTAATTCCCGGGATCCATGTGAGTAGAGAGTGCAACACTGTTCCTTGCAGCCGAGGGAGAGGTCCTCTCTTGTTAGGTAGTGTTTGATCATTATGGGTTGAGAGGTTAAGTGTAAAACCATTGAGGGTAATACCTGATGGGCTAATCTTACATTTGCCCACAGTCATTGGGTTTTTATAAGGTGGCTTGACCCAATGACCATTTAGTGTAAATGTTGGGTCCATTAAGAGCCCATGTGATGGACTTAGGGGTTCACTGTCTCCTACAATGAATTCGGTCAGGCCTTGTAACAAAGGCTGGGTTGAACCCATGTGGCTGATGTGTAGATCAATGTTTGGTTCCCACACCATACAAGGATAGCCAACTGAACAGTAGATTAAAAGGTTAAGTGAGCACAAAGACTTAATGGGCCTAAAGCTCAATTCGAACTGGCTTAATAAGATTAATTAAATGAGGGCGGTTCTGGGATTTGGATCAACAGATAGGATAAGGGATTATCCCTATCCACTTAAAGAGTCCAGATCCAAATAAAGATTTTGATCAGGAAACTCCTAATTTGATTAGGAAGGCTAATCTTTATCTGCAGATAAGATAATGGATTATCCTTATCTCTTAAAGAGAGTCCAGATCCAAATATATGATTTAGATTAGGAAACTCCTAATAGGATTAGGAGAACCTCTCTTTAAGGCTATAAATAGGAGAGCAAGGCGAACCTAAAAAGACACAACAGATACAACAGATAGTTTGCTGAATTAAGAGAGAAGACAATATACAGTTCGACTGCTTCTATCTTCTTCTCGTGTTCCTGCTCTTGCCGCCCTACCCAGTTCGATCTCCACCAGTGGGAGTGATCAAGAACAGTTCTTGATATTACCTTTTGCTAGAAGAGGCAATTTAAAGTCGTGCTCACCAACCCTCCATCATATTCTTGCTGAAGAATCGTCCTGCTGATTCTGTTTCACCTCATACCGTGTCATCTTCGGTGGAAGCAGTCTTTGGTTTTCTCCTTGGGCATGAACACCTTCATTGGGGGTTTACTATTATTCCGTATCAGGTATATCCCTCTACTCCCTTTTGGTTTCAGATCTGGTCCGGTTTGGTTTCAAGATTGATCATTGAAAATGCAGTTTTCTAAAATAGGGAATGCGATTCCCACATGGGAGAGAGAGAAATTTTTGAAATTTCGCCCAACCTTCCTGCAGGGTTCGGCCATCCATATGATGGATCTCTCATCCCTTCACTTCATAGGTTCATTGTTAGCACAAGTTCATTTGTAGTCATGAAGGTGTGTAATACTCCACAAGGATTTGTTATCATTTCACTCACAACCAATTCCCCCAAGTACTGCTGAATCAGATCTCATATTCTCTCTTCCCTAGCCATGTCCCTTGCCTCACCAGCCAAATCCTGTCTAGACTCTTAAGTCTTTACCCTTTCCCCCCTCTTGCTCAGATTCAATTCATATGACATGTTGTGGTGGTGGGAGACTTATGAGGGGAACGGGGAAAGCTCACCTACAGGATCCAACTTGCAAAATCTTACATGGTTGTGATTATATTCACACAGTTTGAGCCATCATGCAATATATTTTCATGGTTCTATTTTTTTAATGGTTCTTCTATGGTTGAGCAATAATTCCATCATTGATTCACTGCTATGATATTTTGGAATTTGGAATTTACTTTTTTGAGTTGTTATGGGAATGGTCTTAAGTGGTACAGACAGATACACATAAAGAAGTGAGCATGGAATGGAAACCTCTGGAGCCACCAAATAAACTAAAGCTAAACTTTGATGGCAGCTCCTTTGGCAATCCAGAGAGGGAAGGTATAGGGGGAGTCTTTAGAAACCATCAAGGAGTTATAGTGGCTTTGTTCTTGGGACCAATTTGATTTGGAGACTCAGTTAAAGTTGAGATCATGGCTCTCTTACAAGCACTGAAACTAGCAGTACAGCTAGGATTAGAGAGTTGGAAGTAGGAAACTCTTTATTGGTTATTTCTGAAATCAACTCAACCCCTTGGAACACTAAGTTAGGGAAATTGACTTTCTTACGAAGAGCTTTAACACCAAGTTAAAGGACAGAAAATGGACTGGCAGATGTCCTAGAAAAAGAGGGAGCTGATAGATCTACTTTATTTTGGGAAATGTTGTAATCTGTTAGTGGGAAAACAGGGGGCTGACAAACGTAAGTTTTTGGGGCGAGCTGTATTCTGATGTATTCTGGGTTGCTGAGTGGATGAAACACTTGTATTTTATCTCTGACATTAATAAAGGAAATTTATCTTGCTGATCAAAACAGAAAAAAATTTAGTACAATGTCTGAATAGCTATTAAATATAATGTAAAGACTGAATTGGTTACATCAACTTGATTGCCATAGAAATAAAATGTCATTACTATAACAATGATCTTAATACCATAATGGAACATCAAACTCCTGATATTCTACTTATGGAACTGTGAAGTCCTTACAGAAAGAACATGAAAATGTACTTTATCAATTACAGTTTATAAGATTTCATTAATGAAAGGGTGAAAACTCCTCTTTTCAAAAAAGTTTGAAAGCTCACTTCATGCTTAGATAATCCTATTGTTATTGTTTTGAGTCCAACTAGTATTGCTTGAAAATAATTTAGTAATAGAGAGATCGTTGCCTCTCTCAGTCTCTCTTTTTCTTTTCTTTTTTTTTTTTTGTTGAATGTTAAGCTTATATTATTGGGTTGACTGATGTTGGTTCAATATCTTTGATGAACTGGACTTAATAAACAGCGGTGGCTGCTAGAGGTGGAATGGAGACTCTAAGGCCTGCTTTACACCGGGTGTATATGACAAAAGCATCTGCTTACAGAGATGCCCTCAAGAACTTCATACTAGGGTATCAAGAAGGAGTCCAGGAAGTCATGGAAAGGAAGGAAGATTCTAAATCTCAAGAGCCTGAAGATGCACTGAAGAGGTCCAATTGATCCTTTTCTCACAAAATTTTTAAGTTATTTTCAAGGGGGAAAAGCGATGCATAGAGCAGTTTGCCAACTGTAAAATCACTGTATAGTTTTGTCATTTTCTATTGGCAGTTTGTAATAAAATTTACTTTAATTGTAAGTTCAACTTTGAGGGCTCAGTAACATAATATGAGAACTCCACTGTGGAGATTTTGGGATTTCAGTAATTATTTTAGTTTCAATTCAAGATGCTTATCAGTTATGGCCAGTTGTCCATCTGAGGCACCAAACTTCAAAAGTCATATATGGTGTGGTGCCATTATGACTGAAGTATTGGATTTACAGGAACTATTGCTGAGCTGTGTGAAGAACAAATCAGCCAGGAATGGGAAAATCTGCCACGGAAAAGTCATCCACTATGGTCTTCAACGAGATGTTCTAACATCAAATATTCTCATTAATATGTACTCCAAATGTGGTCTTGTTGATTTTGCACGCAATGTTTTTGATAGAATGCCTGAGCGAAGCATTGTCTCGTGGAATACTATAATTGGTGCATATACTCAACTTGGAGAGGAAGAAGAAGCATTGAAGCTTTTTATGCAGATGCAAAGAGAAGGGACCACACCAAGCGTATTTACCCTTTCTAGTATTCTTTGTGCTTGTGCTACAAAACTGGCAATCTGCGAAACGAAGCAACTACATGCATTAGCTCTTAAATCTGCATTGATTGCCAATGTTTTTGTAGGGACGGCTGTGCTTGATGTCTATGCAAAGTGCAAATTGATTAAAGATGCATGCAATGTGTTTGATGGCATGCCTGAACGAAGTGCTGTCACGTGGAGTTCGATGGTTGCAGGGTATGTTCAAAACAATCTTTATGAAGAGGCTTTGGTTTTGTTTCATAGAGCTCAAAAGATGGGTATGGAACAGTCTCAGTTTACACTCTCTGCTGCTCTCAGTGCATGTGCAAGCTTGGCATCAGTTATTGAAGGCACCCAGGTGCATGCAGTGATCATAAGAATTGGTTTTGTTTCGAATATTTTTGTGGCTGCATCTCTGATAAATATGTATGCAAAGTGTGGAAGCATTGAAGAAGCTTACTTTATATTTTCAGGTGTTGATGTGAAGAATGTTGTTGTATGGAATGCAATGATCTCGGGGTTTGCTAGACATGCTCAATTAATGGAAGCTATGATATTATTTGAGAAAATGCACCAGATGGGTGCATATCCAAATGAAATTACTTATGTTTCAATATTATCTGCCTGTAGTCATGTGGGCTTGGTTGAACAAGGACGAACATACTTTGATTTGATGATGAGAGATAAAAATGTAGAACCCAATGTCCTTCACTACTCATGCATGGTTGATCTTCTTGGTAGGGCTGGGCTGATTCATGAATCCTGGGACTTGATCAAAAGTATGCCATTTGATGCCACTGCCTCTATGTGGGGTTCCTTGTTGGCCTCTTGCAGGAACCGTGGGAACTTTGAACTGGCCCAGATTGCAGCAGAACGTTTGTTTGAGATTGAGCCCCAGAATGCTGGAAACCATGTTTTACTTTCAAACACGTTTGCAGCAAATAAAAGGTGGGAGGAAGTTGCAAGGACAAGGAAGCATCTGAAGGACAGTGGGATAAAAAAGGAGATGGGGAAGAGTTGGATTGAAGTTAAGGATAAGGTTCACACATTTATTGTTGGAGAGGGAAGCCATCCAAGAATTGCTGAAATTTATGCTAAATTGGAGGACTTGGCTGATGATATGAAGAAGCTGGATTACAAGATTGAGATGGCACATGACCTACATGATGTGGAGGAAGATCAAAAGGAAGATCTCTTGAAGCACCACAGTGAAAAATTGGCTCTTGCTTTTGGCCTCATTATCTTACCACCTGGTGCACATATCAGAATCAAGAAGAACCTCCGCATCTGCGGAGATTGCCACTCTTTCATGAAGCTAGCATCGAGGATAACAAGGAGGAATATTATTGTAAGGGACACCAACCGATTTCACCATTTCAGTGGTGGATCTTGTTCCTGTAGGGACTTTTGGTGATCTGTTCCTTCTAGTTTATGCTCCTTCCTGTTGTTGAATACTGCATTGCTGGCCTAGGATGCAACATTTGCTGTGCATAGTGGTCTTTGATTTATGCTTCTCAATCACTAGGCGTCAAGGTGCATTTTCCATGATCTCTAGTCCACATCTTTTACTGAATGATAGATGGGTCCTGCAAAAAGCACCGAGATTTGCTTCCTGTTATGGATAACCCATATCTCTATCAAATAAGAGGTGGGTCATTTGTATCCTAAGAGGTGGCAGACTCTCTTAGTGCTGAATAACTATACAGTTTTCCATATTTATATAACCAATGATAATTCAGATAGTTTCCCTATATTTAATATCCTTCATCTTCCTTTTTGCTTTTTGAATCTTGATTTGTCTTAAATCTCCTCCATATGGCCATTTCAGTACAGTGCTTCATGTTTTCTCCAGAAGAAAATAAGTCCCAAAAAGTAATCTTTTTCTTCATTGGCAGGTGAATGGAGCTAGGTTGACTGAGGCTCCAAAAGTAAAGCTTAATTGTAATAAAAGTGGAGTGGGAGAGAGAACCTTACTAGATGTTTCCACATTCATACTGTACTAAGACATGAATAATTGGTTATCCTTACAGGACAAACCCCATTATACATCCATACAGGTGGGAGCTGCCGAGCTGCTCAACTACGTGATTGGTCACTAACATGAGGCCAATGATAAACAGCTCATATCTGGGGGCCCACCCAAGTGGCAAAGCTGGCTGAGCCACTAAACATTGGATTCATGGCCGAGGTCAATGGTTATCTTTCACTTCCTAGTCTTCATGGGCCCCTCTGGTCGCGTGACTAAAGTTGACTACATAGTCACAGATTGCCTACATTGGTGGCCAATGGCATCAATCTCTCTCTCCAAATTCATTGCATAGAAACGAAATGCACGGCCTTTTATTGTGCTGGTAACTCCACTTCCACCACCTCCCTGGACCTCCATCCAGCTATCCTCACTTTTCCTTCTCTACCTACCCTTCTCACTAATTGCTGATTCTGTTTTATTTACTTCAGGTGTTTGCCGAAAGCATTATTTTATATTTTATGAACTAAWTTTTTTTATTTTTGAGAAAAAAATGAGAACGAACTACTCATTCTCAGTTACTTGGTGCATATTATTTTATAGATCAACCCATGGGAACCAGAACCTAAAAGGCTGCAATTCTTCAGTTAATTTAGTGTGCTCATATTTAGTTCATTATCCATTTGCAGCAATCCAAGTAGAAACTTTTGATCTGACCAGTGGGTGACATTGCTGATTGAACCATTTAATTCAAACAATTATTTGGTCCCTATTGATAAACACAGCCTTAGTTGACTGCCAATTGATGTTTTAATAATAATGCCAATGGGTTTATCACACAAGCAAAATTGGACATTTTTTATTTAATGTACTTGATCAATTCATTGGAGAAACAGCCCAGAATATGCTCACACAGTTGATCACTCATTAAGGCTGTTTTGATTACTTAAACCACACGTTTACTGCAGTGCATTTGCATTTAATTAGGATAATCTGATTTTGTCTTGTAATTTCTGCTTAGGGGGTTGCAGAGAAGATACATTTTGTACTCATGTAGTAGTTAGTGGTCATTGCAGTGGGATGGGCCATGTTAATTCAAATTACTAATTATTTTTTCATGCTTGAGTGATGAAGATGATGGATATGGATTATGCAAAACCCATATCATCATCATCATTATCATCAAAATCATCAAAATTGTCATCAATTAAGACATAGCCCAAGTCAATTCTCTGTAGTAAAAAATCAACGCATCCATCAGTTTGACATACATGATTCATCATCATCATCATTGAAAGTAAAACAATACTCTCCCCTTCTTTGTCTCTCTGCTGTTTTGCCTCTGCAACCCCACAGAGCACCCGAGAGCCCATGTAGCAACGTGGAGAAACATGGTCTCAGTACTTTCACCCTCTGAAATCTCTTGTCCATCTACCCACCCACCCACCCACCCACCACCATCTATCTATCTCCTGTTCATATTATTATGAGGATGTGTGAAAAATCTCCACAGAGAATCTTAACAGTAACAACAGATTCCTGATACAATTTACCAAAAGAGGTGGAATTGCTGATGTCAGCCCTATCTTTTTTTGGGCCCCACCTTCCCCCTATCATTCTTCAAACCTCCTTTAATCCGACACATCGTACTCCTGGCCTTTAGAAATTCCAGTAGTTTTGTGCTTAGTTGCCTGAAAATCGGGGATTTTCTCTTTTTCTATTTTTCCCCCCAAAATTTCCTTTTAATTTTCTCCTAAACTCTACAACTCTAAACTGCCCTCCTAAGTCAATCCACGACGTCACATCGGCAGATCTCCTCGGCGATTTCTCGTCTGCGAGAAGTTGATTTCCTGTATGCAAAATATCGTTAAATAATCAGCTCTTGTACAGATAACAAAACATATATCTCTGCCGTCCATCAACGCTACGTGCTAGAATTGCCTACTCATCTGAACCATTCAATCAGTGGACCACCACTTATTACATGACCCTGACAACAACCACGTGCCCAAACATGCTGTGAACCGTCGAATTGGAATCCCACTAATTCATGCCACCACTTGTCCATTGGATTCCACTCCGGTTCAAAGCACACAAAAGTGGTTTCGGTTCATGGGCTGTGGCCCACCTATCAAAGAGCCAGCTAAGTCCACGCCTTGCACACCCCTAGTCTATAGTTTTTATTTTTCTTTCCACGGGCCACGGGCCACAACGTACCAAAAAAAATTGAAAGCCCATGTGGGTCCACTGCTGTTGATACTTGATCCAACAGCCACCGCACACAGTATTCCGAAACCACCACTACAAACACAACGCGTTCAGCCTTCAGCGTTCTGATTCTCAGCAATCAAAGCGGCCCATGGGCCTCTTAATTTACATCAACTTGGACTACAGAATAATGACACACCATTTAAGACAAGTCGAGAATCCAAAATGGGCCGGCTTACCTGGTAGCCATTATAATGCGGAGGACCATGAGCTTGAGGTTGAGGGAAAAGGAACGAGGCTCGACCCTGGTTCGAACCGTCATGAGTGGTTGGACCGGATTCGTCGAGCTGGCAGTCCAGGTTTACCCCGAACAACCTCAACCGTTTGGAGTTCCCCGTCGTAGTAGGATTCTGAGCGACAGGCGCCACTGCAACACGTGCATTCACAGTAACCATTGGATTTCTCGTAAATGTACGATCATTAAATTCTCATATCAATATTTTCATTATTTTCAGAAATTCTAGAAAATAAAAATTAGAGAGAGAGAGAGAGAGAGAGAGAGATGGGGTTGGTTTGGTGTACCTGTAGATATGCCTGCATGAATACAGTCGGGTTGGTATAGGAGAGGAGGGCCAYGAGGGTGCGGAGGATAAGGATGCGCAGAGTAGAAGACACGGGTCCACGCGTTCATTGAAGGAGCAGTAATATCCTGCGTCGTACCGCTATCTTGCACCGGGACGGCGCGGCGCCTCCACCGTATATAGAACCGATCGCCGTTGAACTTACGGCGTTCGAAGGAGACGACGTCGCCGGCGTCGAGTCGCTTCTCCTTAACGAAACGGCTCCAGCCTTTTGTCAAGACGTAGCTCTGACTACTGTTCCAATAGGAGTAACGAAACCTCCAGGACTTGCCCGACTCGTCCTCGAAACTCAGTAGTAACCCCTTCTCGCCCGAGTCACCACCCCCACCCCCACCGAGTGGGAAGTATTTCTCGGCGTGCTGTTTTGGTATAACGAGACGATTGAGCTTCCCAACGTCGCTTGGCGTTAATGGCTTCTCGAACATGTGCTCTCGCTCTTCTTGGTCTCGCTGGCCTCCGGGGTTGTGGTCGTGGTCGTGGTCGTCGACCATGGTTTCTCTGTCTCCGGTGGTTTGTTGGTCTTCGAGTTCGTCTTCGTTGTCTTGTTGGTTTGTGTTGAAATTGAGGGCGGCGTCGCGTCCCCGGAACAAGGAAGCGGCACGGTCGTAGGAGCGGGCGGCAGCTTCTTCGGAGTCGAAGGTGCCGAGCCAGAGGCGGTGCTGGTTCTCATAGATTTGAGCACCCCAACGGCCGTTGGATTGAGGGACTACACCTTTGTATCTGGAAGACGGGATCTTTGTTGCTGGGTCCATCATGGGTTGTGTTGTCCACCACAACCCTTCTTGCAAGTCTGAAGGAAAATGGTTTATGGACATTCAGACACAAAGAGAGAGAGAGAGAGAGAGGATGAAACTTGAAAGGAGATATATAGGGACGAGACTAGAGAGAGGGAGAGAAAGAGGTGAAGGTGGAGATGTGTGGGATGAGACTTGAGAGTGGCGATGATGATGGTTTTGATGTAGAGATCGTAGGAATTATTAGTTGTATATAGTGCAGAAGAAATGACAAGAGAGAGAGAGAGAGAATTGTTATAAGTACGAGAGTACTTTAAGGTTTTGCGTGATGGAAATATCAATCATTTTTTTGATGTAAAATTTGAATATTTATATAATATTCCATAGAATATTGCACAGTTTAAAGAATTTAAATGGGAGCAGAAGGCAGATAGAGCGAATTTGAAGAATTGATTGAAAGAAAGATGTATTGTAGTTCTACGAAGAGGATGAAAAGTGAAACCAAGGAATGGTAAAGCTGAATGTTTCCATGTCTTCATTCATTCTATGGATTATATAAACTGACCCATTCCATCCGATTATAGCTGGGTCCCCCTGGTATGATCTATTTATGATCCTGACCATTGATTTGATTGTAACCCATGGATGGATTGATGAACATGAATTTCTCCTCCATTAATCAAAATGGTTTTTTTTTTGAAGCTGCATGTAATATACTTATTCTATAAACAGTAAAAGAATGTAAAGCATTCATTTGTTTGGGTGAGTTGTGGTCAAGTTGGCAGTGCAAAAGAATTAAAGAAACCTGTGAGCGTGGTAGCCTCTGGGTTCTATGTCCGTCTCCTTCCAACCAAATCTAGTGATGAAAACACACTGTAATTGACTGGCTGATTATCATCAGACGATTGCCAATGCACATGAATGGACAAAACAGTAAAATCTATGACTTGGGGTAATCAAATCTGAGTAGTTGAGGAGGCTCTAGGAGCTTTGTGAATAGCAGATAAATCTGACGGATTGTAATTGTGAGAGAACTGAAGAAGTGCTCAAGCCCTCTTGGTTTGGGTGAGGAAATATTTGTCACGTGTGGTGACAGCATTATTTTGTTTGGCTCTTTTCTGGGTCTCATTCCTAATTCCCAAGTTTTTTTAAAAAGAGGCTTCTGGGAAGCGATTGGGTCTGCAAAAATCCAGAGAGATCCCTTCCATTTCCAATAAGCAACAGAGGAGAGATGAGATAAGATATATCTAATGGAGGACTTCTAGTTGAAGTCGTGTTTCAATCCCCTCCTCACAATCCAGCCGCATCTTCTATTTATTTATTAAACTTTCATTATTCACAGATACTTGGCCTGTATCACTTGGGTTTCTGTTTTTTTCTCATAATTTGCTGTTTCTTTATTTGTGTTCTCAGACAATGCCCAACTCAATTTCCAGGTAGATTCAGACACCTTTTTTCTTCCTTTCAAAAGGGTTCGCTAGTTTTTTTTTTTTTTTTTTTTTTATCAAGTTGATGTTGTGACGTTAGAGCAAGAGTTTTTGGGTTGAGTCTTTTTTTCTGAGTATTAATGTGACCATTGATCTCCAGATGATGGATTACTTGTGTTTGAGTTGGGTGGTTATGATGCATACTGACATGGGTCCCTCCAACTAATTAAGTCCTTTCTATGATCATCAGTCCAATTAATCTTTGATTCTTTCACAAGATCTGACAGTGGGTATCCATCCACGCGTGAACATAGTCTTGTGATCATTGTACTAGTACTATTCATAGTAAGATTGGAAATATATGTATATTAATGCCAAGATTTGCATCAGATATTAAATGCTAAATGATAAGTTTTCTATTAATTTCTCAAGATGATGTAGGTTAAGGACCGGATTCCTTGGTTCTAAAATAACCAGGTTGCCACTGTAGGTAAGGAATCTGCCATGTAACTCGTGGTCATGTCTTCTTTTGCTTTGAGAAATTGATTAATTGGTTTGTTGGGGAAACAAGACAATCTCTTGATATTAATTGAGGAAAGTGATGAACATGGAATAATAATAAAAAAATATAAAAATATTTCCACATTTGGAGTTCTCCAATTCCCAAGCAAAACCACCTGGCTTTTTAGACCAGTCCGTGAGATTAGACTTCTCCACTAGGACCCATGTACCCCTTTTTTCTTATTTGACAGTTCACTCTCACAATATTTAATTTCCCATTGTTGAATTAAAAATTCATTACATTTCATGTTAGTTAAGTGGAAATGATCCATAAAAATTAATTTTACTAATAAACCCACGTTTAAATATCATCTCAACATGCTTTCTTTTTAATGATAGCTGACTGCTTTACATCTTTTGTTTGTAATTTTATAAACCAACTTGTTTTATTTGCTCCGATTTTCCTTGATGATCTCATTAGCTTAACCTTAAGTGATGCCAAAGGGCTTATATATTTATGATTTGCAGATTATGTTCATTTGGTTAAGGTTAAATTAAGGACTACTGCTCAAACTCAAAGTCTTCCATCATTGTCAATGTTCTATTCTAATCCTTATTATTTGGAAATTGGAATCTGCTAAACAAATCCTGTTGTGCTATTCCACTGTATCAATGAAATAATTTGTTAACACTTGTTGTATCAGTTTAATTAATAGTACACCCATTTAATACTTCCCAAAATATTAATTTTTTGTTCCCAACATGTAATGGTAAAGGCCAAGAGCAATGTAGAACCACTAAATAGGTTGATGCCCATCTACTCATTTTGTAAATTATGCTTTAATAAAAGACAAAAAGAAAAACAATATAGTTTTATTTAGAAGGTACAGAATAATTCACTAACATAGCATTCAAGGGTTTCTTCATTGGATTGTTGATACATTTCATGATTTTTAAACAATGAGGGATCAGTCACATGAAGGTTTGGTTTTTGGCATTGATTGAAATCAATTTATCAAACAAATCCTACATTTTATTTGCACTAATTCCCCCTACAACTATCATATCCTACCAGATGGTTAATTACCAAATCTATTGCATACAAATATATATATATATATATATATATATATATATATATATATATATATATATATTCATTTATTTTTCAGTAATAATGCAGAAAAGTTTCTTATATCCACCCTATGGATATATGAAGGCAAAATACATTAAACATATTAAGTAGAGATCCAATATCCATGATATATACATCCATGAAAATGGATGGCTTTGCCTGAAAGAGTGAAAGGTACTCAACCAAGTCAAGACAACATTCCATATTTCCAAGATTTGAATGAGAGTAGCTGAAAAATACTTGAAGATTTCCACATTAGATTTGGTTTGTTAAGTTTGGCAGCAAAAATTGGAAAAACTTGAACTATTCTTCCACACATGGAAAGGGGACCTCATGTGAAAATTACACACATTGACATGGACTTCACAGTAAGCTATGGATCATACACTTATCGGCTGGATTCCTTGGGACTCATGGCATGGGTCTAGGTGGGCCTCAATCTACCACACTTGTTGTTTGACTTTACAGAACCACTACTACTTTTAGTCCTACACGATTCTTGCCAGGAGATTTCTATTTAATAAGTAGTTATTATTTGAGAGAGAGAGAGAGAGAGAGTGGTGGGACATTGAGCTGATCTAGATAGAGCAGAATATACTACTGTGCTACATGCTGTTCCAGATCCAAAAGGGCCCAATAAATTAAATAGTCACCGACCATTTTACCTATGGGTCCATTTTGGGACAGAATTAGGTCAAATTATGAATTCAGACCAACTGTAATTAAGTGGGTGATTAGTACTGTGGTTACAAACAAGTGTGGTGTTTTCTAGCCATTGGGTCAACCATGGTGTATTTGAAATAGTACGATATCTTCGATATGGGAAGTGTTATATCAATTTTCAGGTTCGATGCTATGCTAATTAGTTATAGATAATAGATGTTATTTGTTTTACATGTTACATGATAAGATATGCCTATGCAAATTTTGTATATTAAGAGTATCAATACTTTGAACCATTGCAATTCGGTTCGTTCTCAAACACGCCACAAATGTGTTTTTGCGTGGCACAATGTAGAACCAAACAGAATGGGCATCTATAAGACACCCCCTAAATCTATCCATGTTGAAGCTTTCGGGTAATCAAAACCCGACAAATGTGGGTGTAGAGACCCATTTTATCACCTGACTATTATTGAAAAGAAATCCCAATTTCCCTTATTAGGTAAATTTTCTCAGGTAAAAAGGAAAAAGAGAAAATATTGAAACTTCATGTGTGTGGGTTGGGGGGGKGGGGGGCGAGAAAACACGACTGCTCTTTTCCTGGTTGTCGGCCGGGCAGTAAATGGCGACGAAATTATTTGGACCAGCAGGAGGCGTGCGTGGTTCATCCTCTGAGATGGGCCCACAGGATCCAACCAACATCTTTCACTGTCAATCTTCAAATGAAGGAACCCAGAAAAAGAGAGCAAATGTTGATGCCTTAATGATGGACGCGTGGCAAGATGTGGCGTGTGATACTCTTTACAAGATGGGCCCACTAGGCCCATCTAGGGGAAAAGGACAGAGATGCCCCCGAGTGATTAGAACAACTACTGGATGACCCTTCATGGGAAATGATAAAAGTACCATGGCAGCATGACTTGCAATGCTGCTGTGTTTTGTCCTGTCCTTCAAATTTTTTTCTCTTTTGTTGAGAAGCTTATGATAAAGTGTGATGAGGTACTTCCCCTTTTGCAAAAACTTTGATGGAAGACTATAAATGATGAAACAAGATATCTTTTTGGTACATTCTTTGATTGATTTTATCAAACAACTGATGGGTGTATGGCAAGCTTGCTGCATGTCTGCACAACCTTTGGCCTCTCTGTTGTGTTGTTCATAGTTTGATTACTTTGATATTTGGTATTGGGTTCTTATGAAAATTTGAGGGTGTTTTATTTAAAATCAATCCAAAATGGTTTAGGTAGAAATATCAATTGAAACCAAAGTGATTGTCAATTATAAAGTAAATTTGATTTGATCTCTTATATCAAATTAAAAAACTCAACATAAATTTATCATGTAGATAATGGGTCCCAAACAAAAAGTATCAATACTTGATAAAGTTTGTGTATCCCACAACTCCTTTTTCTTTTTTATTATTTGGTTAATTGGTTTTGTTACATCATAATTTTTCATTCAAAACATTTAAAACCAAGCAATTAATTCTGAGTATATAACAACAAATGCTATGGAGTAGAAAATACAACATAGAGCAAAATATGTCAATTAGAGATAAAGACATCACAGTTGATATATTTGACATTGTTAACGTGATTGATAAACATATCTTGCGAAATATGAGTCAAATGAAAATGTAAGAAAATCATGTAACATTTTTAAGGTGATTAATCATGACATTAAAAAATGATATATATATTGTATCAAACACAAGGATCCCTATTGATATTTTAAACCTAGCTTTAAGGATGTGGGGTGGTCATCTACTAGTAAATACTAGATAACTTGAATTTGAGGGGTCCA